CCTCTGCCTGTGTATCATTGATGCTTTAAAAACAATACAGGACATGGAGTATGCTGCAACCCAAGTCTCTCCCTGTTTACACAGCACACGCAGCTCATTTCTGTGCCACCTGCCTGGTATGGGGGTTGTTGTGGGGCTGTCATATGCCTGTCCCAATATTCAGTGCCTTCCCTGGCAGTAAGGCTCACAAGGGCCACAAAGGGGAGAGGAATTGCAATGGACTGAGCTTGTTCACAAGGAAAATATTTTTTTTTTTTTAATGCAAAGCGTACAACTCAAAGAAAACAACTCAGTTTGGGTGCTGTAAGCCCAGCTAAAGATAAGCAGTAAGACCCTGTGGTGCCTGCACAGGGTGGCACAGCCCTCCCTGGGACACCACACAGCCCCTGTGCAGCAACACTGCTCACACACACATGGACACCAAGAAAAAACCCCAAATAATATTGTGGCAGTGCCAAACACCATGGACAGTACAGAAATTCCCAGGTACTGAAATATTGCCATGAAGTAGATAAATAAGGATGTTACAAAACAAGACTATCACCATCTCTACTCTGACTTAGTAAAGAGCTGATTCTTTTGGTAATTATGCATTAAAGTTGAATTTGGGCAGCAGTTGCTGTTGATGGACATGGGTCACAGCCCACAGAGTCTGAGCCCAGACTGTGGAAGGAGCATATATATATATATATATACACACACAAATACTTCACAGAAAGCAATTGATCTTAGCCTCACTGAATTACATGCCTGAGACCACAAACCAGGATTTGGGCTCACCACAAAATATGAAAATTCTGAGAATGACATTTTATTACATTGCCTTTCCAGCCTTATACAGCATTAGAGGATCATTTAAAAATATTTTGATCATTTCAAACCTGTAAATGGTGAGCAAAGATGGGCTGTAAACTCTCAAGAAGGCAATTTAATTATGCATATGTCCTTTAATGAAGACTCTAGGTGGGTAAAATTAGAGCTGGCAAAAATTATGAATATGCATTAGCTCTGTAATGCCAAAAACCTGCTTGTTTAACAAAAAAAGAAATTGTAGCCAACCATTTCTTAATAGCTGAGGTACAGGGGCTGCTTCTTTATACATTTTGTATAAAATATGTATACATGTTATATACATTATACATCTGTATGTACAGACACCCGAAGATATCACTTGCATATGTTCTGCCAGGGTTCTTTTAGGATGATAGGAATAGTGAAGGACTTCATGGGTCATTGCACATGACCCACACCAACAGCTTGGACAGAGGCATAGCTCACACTGTCCTTCCCTACCACATCTTTTTCAGTTAGTATTGTCTTTTAGTTGAAGCAGCTCTTTACCTTGAGATGTGTTCACAGATATTGAATATATCCTCTCTCAAGCTCCATCTTGCAAGGGCAGATATTCTATGTGCTTTATCCAATTTGTCTGCAAGGCAGGTTTTCCTCTCAACCATTTCTTTGTTTATTGCACTTAGTTTTAATTAGCCAGAATGTCTCAGTAAAAAAAAACAAACAACCCAACCCAACCCAAACCAAAAAACCAACAAAAAAGGAGCTATCATGCCGTTGAAAGCCATGTTGATGTTCACTTCCATGTAAACTTGCCTTCTTATTTTGTATTCAAAATATTAGAAATGGAAGAAATATGCATGCAATTCCCTCAAGCTGTCAGTTTTCCTCAGGAAGTCATGAGTCATAAGCAGGCAACCAGAACAAAACAGAGATGCCACATTTGAAAAAGAAGAGCTTAACACTTGAGATTGTTAAAGTGAACAACAACCACACTATACAAGCTGGAATCCAGATTCTCCACTGAACTGCAGCTAAAAAGTGGGTAAACCATACTAGAAGAGAGGACATAATAGGAGAGAAAATGTTTTTTCTTCCTGGAAACCAACTGCAAAATAAAGCCTTAAAGCAATCCTAAAAAAGCATGAATGTCATCACGAGCAGTTCTGTCTTTCTGCACTGCTTTATGAATTTTCCATTAAACCCATTTCTTTTAAATCCCATTACTGACTGCTAAGACCAAGCTACTATACTACTGCAGCAATATTAACCTCCATGAAATAATTAAAGGATGGATTATCAGCACAAGACCTTACATGACACCTCTTTGGAACCTAATGTGTCTTCCAATGGCCTGCAATATAATGAGATGTTCAAATATAAAACTTTGAGTTACCGCTTTTGTTGTTTGTGACATTTATTCAGTCAGAAAGATCCAACTTCCCAACTGCATTACTTACACTTTACTTTTGACCTTGGGTGGTTGAGAGCAATCTTTAAGGAAGCTATCTCTTTGAATCTCCTTTTTATATTAGCATTTAATTACTGTAACAAATTTCCTGATGTACAATTATAATGGACTTTAAATCAGCTCTTCCCCTTTGAACCATGATGTTGCATTTTTTAGCCTTCTGCATACTCAGACCAGCAAACACATCCATCTCTCAGCTCTTTCTACACAGCACCTATTTATCTTCAGTTGCTGGTTCCCAGATCAGGAGTTTTTCCCATCGCAGGACTCCACCTACCATCCACACACCCTGGTCCTTCAGTCTGAGGGCCCCTCAGGTTGCACCATCAGGCCATTACAGACAATCAGAGCGATTCATAGGTGTGTCCAAGAAAACACTAAAATCTTATCAGGAAGTGTATAATTTCTAGACATGGGGCATGATCACCACTAATGGCTGCATTGTTTTGACCAAGCTACCTTGTCTTGGTTTTGGAAGACAGGTGTGTCTGCTAGGGAGGGCAGGAGCCTCCCTCAGAATGAAAAATGTAGACCCCCTCCCTCCGAATTATTATAATTTTGAAATCAAGAGGCTCTCAGGCAGAGATCTGGGGATAGGAATAACAGTTCTTTACTAGTGTGTATAACGAGGCACACAATACAAAACAACAATAACTACAGCGTTAGCAAGAAAACAGAACCAGGGACCCCGTGACAGCTTTCTCGGCTGAGATGGGAAGGGATGGAGGAGAGGCTTTGTTTCACAAACCCCCTCGGGCAGTCAGTCCCGGTGTTCCTGCAGGGCTCTGAGGAACACTCAGCTGGAACAGCAGGGATGAGCTGAGATCCTGGGCTGGTGGATGAGGTGGATCAGCAGGGATGAGCTGAGATCCTGGGCTGGTGGCTGAGGTGGATCAGCAGCTCCGCGGAGGTGCCTGGCACTGCCACACGTCCCGGCAGGACAGGGGGTACGAGGCCACCAATGAAGAGGGAAGAAGGAGAAGAAGCAGCAGCTCCGTCTGGGTGATGGCGAATTCCCTTCTCTCCACAGCAACAACTCCCAGCAAAGTGTCCTTCTCTGAAGCTGAAGAAGCCAGCGAAACTCTCCCCTCCCTCCCCTTTTCCTGCCCCCCTTTCCCACTGGGCCCAGCCGAACTCTCTTCAGCATCGACCAAGTACCTGCAGTCAGGGTTTCCCAGCAACTAATGGGTAAAAATTCCACAGGTGAGCCAGAACTAAAAGGAGGACACCTAAACCCCAACATACCCGAAAGAGCAGCAAAGAGGAGAATGGCTTCTCTTAATGACATCAATCAGTGTCAAGCAATCCTTCAAATGAGGAATAGGATTGAAGTGCATTATTGAATGTTTTATGCAATAGTTAAGATGATGTGAAAGGCCCAAAGATTTTTAAATTAAATCAACTCTAATTGAGGAAATGTGATCTCATCAATCCAGTCTCTTCCTGCCCTCTTACTGTAGAGTTGTGTCCTGGCCCTGCTCTTGGAACCTGCTTGTCACACCCCTGTCTACAGAAGGGTGGTCTGCAGGTACCAACCTGCCTCCCGACCATCCGGGAGACACCAGGTGAGATTTTTCCGCAGTTCAAGGCTCACCAAAGCCTTGGCTAGAGCTTCTTCAGGTGCTGCCCCAGTGCAGAGAGCAGCATCCAGCCGCCCACGTGGCTCTTGGTGCTGCTGCCTTTCAGCATGCCCAATGGAGAGCTCCAAGGTCTGTGGGCAGGAGAAGCTATGGAATCACAAGCTCTTAAAGTTACTGAAAACAAAAATATGAACTCTTGGGAAGGTAGAATTAGAAAGAAATCATAAATATGACTCTTTAGCCAGAAAGGCTAAGGAAGAAATACAAATGAAAGCATGGTTTGAATAATTCAAAGAAACCAGTCTGGTATGCCAGAACACATTCTTTCCCCCAATAAAACTAAGCTAAGACCCCTCTCCCCAGCCTTATAAGGAAAGCTCTGAAGGACACATGAGATAACTAAAAATATGCAAAAGCAGCAATTTCTATAGGTCACACACAAATGTTACTGTATTAGTATACTTATGAAGATTGGTTAGTAAAGGAAGAGAATATTCAAATGTATAGATTATATAAGTAATTGTAAAAGAGCTCGCTCTCTTGCTACGCTCTCTTGCTTGCTCTTGCCTCACTCTTTCTACGCTCTTGTTACTCTTGCTTCCTCTTGCTTCTCTCTTTCATCCTTTTTTCCCGGACCTCTCACTTCTATTCTGTTACTTTCTTAGCAATCTTAAGTCTTGAACTCATGTATTCATATTTTACCCCCTTTTGTATTGTTCTCTCCAAGCCTGCTTTGAGCTCTATCTGCTGGCTCATAGCAGGCTCTCTCTCTCTCCCACACCCTGAAATAAACTACAAACATCTAACTCAACTATAGAGGTCTCTGCCGTGTCTTGGATCATCCACCCCGAAGCGTCTCTTACAATGAATCACACTGGAGAGACCTTTCCAGTTCCAATCTGCACCAGTGGGGTGTGTTGGAAGCAGACTGCATTATCTGGAGCAGTGGCTACAGACACACAGTGACTGAATTATAAGCACTTATGCCGACGGCAAAACAGACAATCACAGCCTTTGGATTTCTAGATATGTCAGAAGCTGCATTAACTTATAATGCTTCTGAAATAAGGCACTTACTACCAACCTACCAAAATTATACAGCTCACTTCGTAGGAGAAAATTCAAGTCACAATGAATGAAAAACACAGAGAGGGAAGTGATTTAGAGGCAACACCTTGCTAATGACAAGAACATTTCTTTGACGAGAGAGGTTATAAAGGAGCAGTCTGCAGTACAACTGCATCCTTCATGAAACATCAAATATGCTGGAAAAGAAAGCAAATCTTCCATGCTGACTTACCCTATTACAATGATGTTCTGGAAAACACATGCATGGGCAGTTGGTCCCACATCCCCCAGACAGGGATCAGGAGGTCTGTCCCTGCCTGGAGTACCCTGGAGCCTCTGCACTGCCTTGGGGTGCACAGGGCCAGGACCCCACCCTGCAGCAGCGAGGGCAGAGCTGGGACAGCACCCACCTCCCCGGGGGATGGGGCACAGCTGCACCTGAGCCACGGCTCTCGTGGAGGATTTCTGTTAAAAGAATGTACAGATCATTTGTTTCTTAGAAACATTCTTTTTTTTCACAGTAACTCATTTAAATGGATTCCACTGTGCCTGTTTATATGCCTCTCTTTATTCCAGCAGAGACTAAGAAATTAAGCTTTGAAGTTTAGTGAGAAATCCTAATGGCATTTGACTTCAATGCTAATGCCTGAATCCTGGTGAATTAAAGAAAAAGGGAGAGCAAGAGGAAAGAAACCACTCCTCCCTTTTATTGTTTTCTACAGCTTGATCCTGAAATGTCTGACTTTGAAAATAACCTTAGTGCCTAACTTGATGCATTATTCATATGTACTAAAACATGTAAATACAGTTTTCTAAGGTTAAAATAAAACTCCTTTCCTCTACAGGTTACAATTATTTAATATTTTGATACAGCAACTTACATCATTAACATTAAACAGCACGTAGGGGAAAAAAAGTGACCTAAAACAAGCATGAACTTTTCTCATCAGTATGGAACATCTACACATTGCCCAGGAAACTGACAGCCTCCAAGTATGCATAAGGTCTTCCAAAAAGGAGGGAAGAATTAAGCACTTTAATTTTGGATAAAACTGTAGCTGCCATTTTGCCATTGACTAAGAATGAGATCTGTTAAAATGTGTATTTGCAAGGAATTTTCTGGCATGGTAACAGTCTTGGGGGATCAAATAGTGGTATTATTCCAGTTTTCAGGAGGAATAATGACCATGTAGTCACAAATAGAAGATAAACTAAGGTGTATTCAATTACTACAACAATACACAGGATGCACCTAGAGTATACCTGTACACAATGTGTGGGCTGATTTAAGTTTGTGCTCTCACCATGTCAGAAATTTTGTATAGCTGTGAGCCACAAGATAGCCTAGAGATGCAAATTCTGTGCTCTTCTGGCAGTTCCAAAAATATAATTTCACTCAGCACTGTCATGACTAAATTTCCTGACTGAAGGATGAAGTAGGCCTGGGCTTTAAGCAAGTGTTCACTTCTTGTAATGTTCATTCAGAAAGGGAGAGACAACAACTTCTGCCTCAGTTCTCCACTCAGGTCACTCAGGGACACTGGGGAGTGGTGAAGGACCAGCTGTTAGATACCAACAAGAGCACCTTGCATCCTCTTTCTGCAATGTCAAAAACTGCCTATGGAAAAAGACCATGTCCAGAATGTCCCAAATTAAGAAAATACACTTGGAAAAACAAACAACAAGAAAAATTGCACCTGCCAAAACAGGTGCATTGAAAAAGACTTGGTTTAGTTCAGACTACCTCAGCCTTACAAACTCAATTCATGGTTGGTTGTTTTTGAGTGACTGAAGGTAAACCAGCATCCTTCCTGGGCCTGTTTTGTTCCTCAGACTATTCACATTCATGCATCCACATCTTGTCTCTCTGGCTCTCTTATGTGACAGCAATCTGGGAGAGTAAAAAGGGTAGATAAACAGAAATTTCAAATTTCTTCTGGGATAGGAAACAAAATCTGCTCACATCTACAACAGCATCAAAATTAAGTTCTATGCTTTTGTAAACATAGAGGTTTGTTACAAATGCTTAATTCACCTCTACCCACTCTCCATGTAATGAGGCACAACGAAATTACTTTCAATGTACTTTCTGCATTATTTCACCAAGGACTGTTAATGATGTTTAATTTGCTATTGCTGCAAATATATAGCTAATTATAATTAGACAAGAAAATGCAAACCATGCATTGACTGTCGTTCTCCAGAGCTGTGTAAGGAAGACTCTTGTTTTACAGAGCACCCCTTACCCAGAAGCAGCTCACTTCTCTCAAGTCAGAAAAGCCAAAATCCTTAAATGTAATCACTCACTGCAAGACATATGCTAAGTGTAAATTCATCCAAGTTGAAAATTGCTAAAGCATTAACATATATGCAAAATACCTTTAATCAGAACCATACAGAGGGGAACTTCCAAAACAGCTTGTTTCCACAGCATTTTACAAAACCTCATACTGTTATTTGTAAATCGCTTCCAAAAATAAAAGCAGGTCTGCATCCGCAGTGTGGAGAAAAAAAGTTACATCCATTTCTGGTCAATCCTGCCAATTTTATTTGTACTAGGAGCACAATAAAACTATTTTTATAAAAAGAACAGAATAAAAAATGACAATGCCTTTTATTTAAGTAATCTAAGAATCAATTAAAATAAAGATTTGCTGTCAGTTGTGAGCATCAACAAACGAACACAACATTATTCTATAATGGCTTATTACATTATTTCTCTTCTGGAATGCAATATTGATTGGAAATCCTTGGGATGGAACAAAGTGATTATTTGTGCAAATTTAACAACTGTTTTCTTACAGATGCAAATGCCTATTGTTTAATTTTAAAGACGTCTATAGGCAAGTTCCAGATGCTGGCAAGAAGGCCCAGTGCAGGCACAGCTCTAAGCATTTACACCTGGGATTAATTAACCCGGGTCAGTTTCTCACTGAGCTGAGGTGTGGATATCAGCCCAGCCTTTCCCAGAGCCCACCGTCTGCACCTGGGCTCTCCCAGCTGCTGCTTCGGTGGATATCGAGCCCCAGGAGCCAGCTGTGCTGGGAAGCAGAGCTGCCGCATCTCCCGGCTCCCTCCCGCCCGCAGCACCCAGCCGGGAGCAGAGCCAGCCCTTGCTGGGGTGTTGGAAAACCCACCTCTAGCGTTCCACATGTAACGAGACTCACAGCAACCCGCTCCACACCAACACCGAGCCACAGTTCTGCCCGCAGCCTCCCTTTGGGAAGCTCCTGCCAAATTGCCGGTGACCACAGCGAGCCCCCGGGGCAGAAGCGCTCAGGCAGCGCTTGCCCTGCAGCCGGGCAGGGCGTGGGAGGAGAGCAGCGGAGGGAAATCCCTTGCCTGAAACGTGTCTTTGCTTCGGCAGCACATTGCTTCCCCTACTAGGGAGCTGTCATCTCCGTGACACTGCAGGGATCCTGACGGGCAGACAGCATTAGATCTTCATCAAAAATCTCTGCAGGCCGGAAAGTGGGGACGTGGGTTTCTGTCTCTGGGGGTGAATCTCACAAACCATGATACAGTATCACCTATAGGGGAGCAGATGGCACAGTTCATCCTCCAAGATAAACATCCACCGAATTTACCTGAGCTTTGCCAGGTAGTGACATGGTTCAGGAGTCAGTCATCCTGCTGTTCTAGGGCTGTCAAGAACCATTGCTTTAGCTGGTAAAAATTAGCATAATTCTACTGACTTCAAACAGACTTCTTTTGGTTTATCAGTTGCTGAGGATCATCTCCTTCAGCCATTTCAAGGTAATAAAAATGTTGTTTAAAAAACTTATTACAACAGATAGACTGTCTGTGCAAGGAAACATTAAAAGCAATTTCAAAATGTAAGTTGCAATTCTGAAGAGATGCCTGCTGCAATTTGTGCAGTAAAACAGAAAAGGGAATCATCAAGTGATTTGGTTTTTCAATACAGAAGGACAAATAGAGGGGAAAATGCTGCCCTGAAGTAGCACAGAATTCAGGTTTTCATGATAATGAAAGAGAAATGCAGTGTCACAGTACTTAGTTGCCTTTTCCCGTCAGTAGAAGCTGCACTGTTAGCCTCACACCGCAGCAGGGTTACCAAAATGTTGGCAAAAACAAGAATGAAGTTTAGCATGGAAAAACCTCATCTGCTAAAACTAAGGTCTATTAATATCCACAGGCTTCCACCTGTGTTGGGAGTGACAGTATTAGAACTGCCAAAACAACTCCCAGTCTTCAGGAAGATGAATTTTTAACCATTCTGAAGAAAGAAATACTCTCAAATATCTGTTTATGGGTCCAGAACAGTGAAAGGCAACTACAATATTAATTAAAAAAGATATCTTTGAGGCAAAGAGCAAGATAACCTATCTCACCCAAAACAATGAAACACCTCTTAAACTCAGCCCTTTCACAGCTCTGTAAATTGCAATAATTGAAAGAGTGGGGGGGGGGAAAGCATAATGCTGATAGATGATTTATTTTAGTGAGTAACAGCTTCTGCCTTCTTGCAACCTGATAAAAAGGAAATGACCCTGGGGCCTATTTGTGCATTCTCCATTACCATTTCACATCACTTCCACTCACAGCTTACCTGCCTCAATGAGGAATAACACACTTCTGCTTTGGCTGAGGAGACTCAGAGCTGCTGCCAGCAATCTGTCCAAGATCTCCTGCGTCCTTTGAATCATGTACCAGAGGAATGCTCAGTGGGGTAAAGTGGCAGCAACCCTTTCAAAAGGAGTCAGGAATGCCACCAGCACTGGAAAAACCACACAGTGTCTGTCATCTTACTCTTTATTGAAAATATTTAGCTTTCCCCTTCTTCGATACAATTAAATTTGCCATGGTGAATTGGCATGCAAAATTGCCCTCTCCATATACATTGTTGTTAAATTACTCTATAATTAGTACTAACATACTGTGCTTAGAGCATTTGCTATGCTTAACGGTTCCATCAACATAACCTTATTGTGATCTATAGCAGTAAGGACGACAATTAGAATGGTATTACTCAATTTCAAAGAGCCAGTGTCAAGTTTTACTCACATTTGCAAGCATCCTTTCAATCATGCTTAGCCACTTCCATAAACTCGATTAATAACTCTATAGTGCTGATTTCCCTGTGGAGAGAGAGAGAAACAGAAATGCCTTCTCACCCTTTTGGGCAGGACCAGGAAGCAGAGAAGCCAGAACCACGATGGGGTACCTGCTTCCCATAGAGCAAACACTGGGGACTTTCAAATGCCCAGGACATCAGTGCTGGAAATCCCCCATAGTATTCAGCAGGATTTGGGATCCTAAATTCTCAAGGCACTTCTGAAAATCCTGGTTTATTGCCCAGGAGGGCAGAATTTACATACTCCCAGGGATCAAACAAAACAGAGAACTAATTCCTCTGTTGGAATTTTGTCCAGTCACATGGGCCTATTCCCTGTGCACTGTCTCAGAGCCAGGACCAAGATTTAGCCCTTGGTTGGAAAGAATATTTATACATCTGCTTCATGCTAGCTGAGTAAAGGACCCACCATAAATAGGTAACTTAACACTAAAATTACTTTTTAAATGAAACCTTCATTTTTCATATGGAAAATGAAATTTATTGGAATACTAAGAGCCTACATCTTTCAGACTTGTATTCAGGTATGGGGAGCAGGGTGAGGAGGAGGGGTAGAAGTGACCTCAATTCTGACAGTCATATAATTTTGTGGTTCAAAAGTTATTGGAACATTTCAGAGCATAATGCCCAATAATTTGCATTCCAAAGACCTTCCCCAGAAACGGAAGGATTGCTAAAGGGTGCATATCTCAGCTCTAATGCTTGTGCCCTTTTCTCAAATTAGTGATACTGTCAAGCTCTGATGAGATCATATCTGACACAGAGCAAAATTATGGTAACAGTCATGTGTGATCTTATCCAGCCCAACTGCTATTTCCATGGGAGTACAAAAGGAAAGAAAGTTCCATTAAACTGAATTTGAGAAGGTGATATTCACCCTGCAGCTATAGGACTATATCTGAGCACTACTTATCACATTCTTGGAAAAGAGTAGGAAAAAAAAAGTAAGGAACAGCACCAGTGATCTAAGCAATCATGTAATACAATCCCAGCTACAATTTAGTTCTGATTATAATTCTAGGTTTCTATATGCAAGTGAAGGAAACCAGATGAATTGTGGAGAACTGTTTCCACAAGTATAATTAAAAGGGTGCTATAGTAGCTGAACATCTGGCCTTGCTTGTGAGAGGCAGAGTTTGAACAGTGTGTTTTGCCTATAATTTGACTATGGCCAGAACACATCCAAACAGCTTCTCACTTCCTTAAGGGTGGAATGATTAGTGACTGAGAGAGGCATGCTCTGAGAGCCATCTGTGAACTGGGGTGTGAACCTGAAATTGTTTTAAAACACCCAGTGCACAAGAGACACACCACACATGGCCACTAAAAATAGGATGAGGGGGACTGAATTATTTGTTCAGCTTCTGAGCTCACCAGCAGCTGAGGAGCCTCCTGATGGGTGTATCTGCCTCAGGTCTGATGCTTTCAGGGAGGAAACACAACTGCTGTTGTAGAAGGAGAAGCACTTAGCAACACCTCCAATTAAAAGTGTCAGTGGTCTCAAACAAGCACCCTAATACGGATTTAATAAGAATGCTGATGTTAATTATATATAAATTTATTGTTAGAAGTTCACTAAAGCTTTAATAAGAGATTAATTTAGATGTGTGCTAATTAGCTGAAAGCTGTATGAAGTATGAAGGGTAAAACTCCCACCTGCAACAGGTGGGGTTTGGTCAATGCTGGATTTGGCTTCCACCCACCCCTGGTGCCATAAGGACTGAGATGGTCCTGAGCTGACCTCACTGCACAGACACAACTTCACTGCAAATGCACAATGACTTTTTTATCAATACTAGATACTTGCAAAGATATTTTTGTAAAATCAATTTAATGCTCTACCTGCAATTCAATACCAATGCAATCAGACCAGGATTATGCATGTACAGCTATGGCTCACTGATTGCCCTGGTAAGCCACATGGTGTTTGATCAGGATAATATAAAGCAAAGAACTTCCCTTCAAAATACAGGGTTAATGTTAAATTCTAATGGATATTCTTTGGAGGGTCATCTTTAACATTTGATACACATGTGTGTATCATCTGCAATCAGGGTTATCAGATACAGTTAGATGTGAGCCAGACTTTGCTCAGAGTGCTGACAGCAAGACCAGGACCTAGGAGAATTCTGGATGTGATCCACCTTCCTTCCCATGGCTAGGACAACAAAACAGTAACTTGATCTTTAAAGGTCTAGACTATCTGTTGCAGAGCTCTCTGGGGCCAAGAAGGCTTTTCCACAGGGAATAAGCATGTACCCATTCCTTAGAGTAAAGGGTTGGATTCCAATGTCTGTCGCCATAAAGTACAGTGACTTTATTTAGACCTCATGCGAGTGAAATTTAGTCACGTTACTCTGAGCAAACAGGCATTAGAGAAGAGCGTTTTGACTTGAATATCAAAAACATACAAACCCCACCCCCAAATAGCTGTTAAACAAAGAATCATTCAGAATAAGACTAACTCACGTTAACATTAAAACATGTGTAGTAAAATATTTTAACAGAATAAAAGCATTATATTTTAGTAAAAGCCTGTCTGCACAAGCCAGCCTATGGTATAAATGACAATATTAAAGGTAGTGTCCTTGAAACTCTCCTGAAGCAGTGAGAATGAAAGAAAAACAATAGCCTTGTGTACAGGAGAAAAAATGTAAACCAATATGCATTAGCCAATAGTAACTTGCTAAGCCCACAGACCCTGTCAGACCCTATAAAAGTGTGCTAAAGATAGAAATAAATGGTATTCACTGTACTTCTGTGAAGACTCGGCTGAATAGACTGAGCAGTTTCTCAATATCTGGCGCTCCGATCAGGAACCTCTTGCGGGCTGAGAGGATTCGGTGGTAGAGCCAGTGGAGCGGATCCATGCGCGGGAAGACGTGGATGTTGATCGGTACCGGGTAGGCGAGCCTCCAGGCAGGGAGATGCGGAATGGAGGCAGAACGCTGGGGGAGACCGAGGGTGGAGGAGTTGAGGAAGGGTCGTGACCCTCTCCCTGCCCGTGGCCGCAAAGAATGGGTGGGTTTGCAGCAGCACAAACTGCTTCTAAACATTATTGTTAAACAAAGCAAAGCAGTCAAGGATATGGACCTTGAAAAGCTCATTCTATGGGCTAGACATAATGGGCACGGGCGCCTCCAGGTCCCACTGTTGCCTTTTGCAGCGGAAGAATGGAAAGACATAGGAGATTTGTTGTGGAAGAACACGATTACAGGGAAAAGCAAGGACACTGTCTCTCGGTCCAACTTGCAATCAGATTGTAATTAATACCTTAAAGAACAGGAAAGCAAGATATGCTGAGGCTGTGAGCCCCGTAATTCTACCTGCATCACAGCAGCAGCCTCCCACTGCTGGGTGAGCATTCCTGTCTATGCTGCCCTTGGAGAGAGGGAGGGAGAGTCAGAGAGAAGAAAGAAGAAGAAGAAGAGAGAAAACAACTCCACAATAAACGCCGAAACAACAAACAGAATCTGCTCAGCAGCGGCAGGATGTGATACATCCTGAACTATTTGCTTCACTTTTGGAGACACTTTTAACACCAGAATCTTATTTAAATCCCAACTTTACTACCCTGGAAGAAGAGAAGCCAGATTTAGAATGGTTTCCACCTGAACCAGGGGGACATGGGGGAGCACTGAAGTGTGCGCAGAGAACAAAGGCACGCCCATGGCAGAGGCAGTGCAGAAGAAGCTCCAAGGCCACTCTGACAAATATCAGCAATTACAGAAACAGTTGAGCAGAAACAGGTGGCTCAGACAGCTTCAAAGAGAGAAAAAATAGCCAAAAAATCATGAACTATATGGTATCTAGTTCTAAATTCATCACTGTAATTAAAAGTTGATAAGCTGCAATGTTCACCATTGTTACCACCTGGCCCAGAGAGACTTTTTGTGTAACATCGCCTATTTTTGTAAAATCGTGCCCTTTTCCCTCTGTCTGCGAACAAGAGAAATATTGAGAGAAAAAACTGTATTTGTTAAAGTTAACTTTGTGAGGTTTTTTATCCTTCTCTCTGTTTTTCCCCTCTGCGAGAGTATGTGGGGGATGACAAAGACTTCACTCAAACCTTCTAGAGATAACAGCAGCAGAGAGCAGCAGAGCAGGCAGTTCACCCCCTCACTCCCTCTCTAAGAAAAAGCACCGGGACAGTACCTAATTTGTTAAAAGGTCATGATTAATTGGTTTTTAAAATATTTTTATATACCCTTTTAGAGTTTATTTTGTGTTTTAAGTAATTATGAGTTTATGCAGTTGAAGTTTTTTTGAGTTTTACTAGAGAAATTATTGTGATTCTTTAGAAAGTTTAAAAAGCCCCTTTTTCAAAAGGTGTTTAAGGTGAATATTAACAGAAGTAAAAGTTAACTTGCAATAATTAGTTTTGAAACCTAATGTTAAAATACTGAATGATTTACAGCTACTAAGAAAACAACCTTCCAATTAATGTTATCTACAAAAGAGATTTGTGGTTTAAAAATAATTAGCCAGGAGAACTTTACTGTATAAGACAAAGTTAAACATATATTGCCCATTTTTTTGTTTTTTCCACAATTTTAATAAGGTAATTTCAATGTGAGTCCTTTTGTTATAAAAGATATGTATAACAGCATATATATACTGATTTGGATTTTGGTTTTTAATTAAAAATTAGACTTGATGTTTTTGAAAAGTGCTACAAAAGCTGAATGGCAACTTGCCAAATCCTGTGTTGTTGTGGTTTTTCTTTAGTAAAACTACACTTTAAAAATCCTAACCAATTTAAGCATATTCTAGGCAAATTCCTGTTATGAATAAGTATTTTTAGTAACATTTGCAGTTATTGTGAGTTATTCTCAAAGCCAGGTGACACAGAATTGTGATGTATTTGTTACATTTTTATAATCTTTATAGTGAATCCATGTTACTGTTATATTGTGTTTCAAAGGTATATATCAAACTTTCAGTTGCCTTTTTGTAGTAATAGAGTGAGATTATGTTTTTATTTAATATAGATTGTTAATAGAA